ACAGTACAACAGCCAGCATGGGAAACGCTTCATTTCTTGGCGAGGGGAATTTGCAAACGCATGTCCCTCACTTTTACATCCTGCTGATTTCTACTGGAGTCTGTTATAATTACTGGGAGCATCAGACATCTGCTCGCTTCCATGGACGTTGCTAAGGCTACTGGTGGGCTGATTGATGTGTGGTTACCACCAGAGAGCAGCCTGAGTGGCAGCAGCTGACCTTCTTAGGAGCATCTGTATCGCTCCACACCTTCCCTCTGGCTTTTGCTGTGACCTTTGGATACAGATCGATCCCAGATTAGTGTTTGTTAACAATAAATACCCTAAAATTAGGATACTAGTAGACAAGTTCTGAAAAGGTTAGATGAGCCTGGGGCAAGTTAGTGCAAGACCCTGCTCGCTGTGCTGGCAGCTGGTCTGTGTGGTCTATTTTCCAAAAGTATTTTCCAGTCCTATTACCCACGATTCCAGAGCAAAACCAGCTGGACGGCCCCAGGATGGAGGAGCTGCCGTGTGGCACCTGTGCCTTCTCAGCTGGGCTGCACAAAGCCCCGATATAATCCAAGGGATGGACTACAACTTTTTTTTTTCTGGGCATTCTGTGGTGTGTTGATGGAACCGGTATTTTGCCAAGCAAAGACGGGTAAATGCATCCAGCTGTACTGGGCTGGCTTCAGTTCCTAAGTGGCAGGCAAGGTTTTTCATTTTCCCTTCAACAGTTACATTGTCGTCCCCACTCCATTTGCAAACTTCTGGCTGCACAAATATATCAAAGCACACTTATACATCATATATATATATGTATATGATACGGAAGCTGTAGGCCATGGGACAAAACAAATTTGTATCTAGACATTGTACCCAGCCGTGTAGGAAAGCCCATAGAGAACATCACTGATCATCAGCTATGAACTGGTTAAATAAAAACTTTGTTCCATCTCATCAGAGGTATTTTGTGCATCTTTGCAACATCTTCAAGTGTTCAGTAACAAAAAAAAAAAGCTCCGAGGGGAAAATTAACTGTGTCATGGGTGATATAAAGCTGCATCAGTACCTATAAAGTGCTCTTGCAATACAAGAGAATTGAAGTAATGAACAGAAATGCTCAGTTAGAGCTTTTTCCATATTTTATGTTAATCATTAGGGTAGAGCTGAAATTAGCTTTAATTGATATTAAGCGTTAAAAAAAATGAATCCTCTGGAGAATGAGTCTCTTTAACCTTTAATGATGCAGTAAATAAAATACCCTGTCAACATTTGTGCAATAGTAAGGGGTTTCAAAATTCCATATCTGTATGGTGAGCGATTCAATATGCCTAATTCTCTCCATTACAGCAGATAAAGGTGATGTCAGCGCGTAAATTCAGCTACAGGTTTTCCACGTTTCCAAGCGATCTGTCATACCCTGGTAATTCCCCACGCTGGCTTGTTACCTCTCATAGGGAGGCGGAGAGAGGAAGGAGGGACTGAGAACTAAACAAATTCTGCACGCCAGCTTTTTCATTTGTGTGCCTTCTACTTGTAGGCATCTGATGCCATAGCGTCAACAGAGAAACTCTGCCTCAGTAGAGGGTAAAGTAAAAGGAGTAACGCTGCTTATTCCTCCTTTCAGGTGAAATATGCCTGAAAATGTTTCATTTTTCACTTTAAAGGCAAGGCACAATTGCGAAAGACTTCAATACTTTAGGGACACTTAGTTTGGCAATAGTCAGGCCATTCTTCTATCTGTCAGGGCTCAGCCTGGTATTGGAACACCTAATAACTGACTTGGTGAAGCACGTGAAATATTCCTCTGCTGTAAGCAGGAAACCTGTCTTTCATAAAATCCATTTGATCATTGCAATCAACTGGAAGTATTAAATCATTTAGGCAAGTTACTGTAACATTGATGGTTATTCTGCTGTAGTTAACTGAGGAAACAGAAAACAAATCTCCCTACTTATGACCCTTTTTGTCTTTTGTCAGGACTGATGCAATAACAGTTCTCATATCACGGGTTATATATGGGTTATATGTCTCCTTTGGAAAATTCCCAGCAAGCCTTTCCCTATTAAGGAGAATATATTTCCGCATACTTATAAAAGTCTTCCTGAGTGATGGGCCAATGCTGGTGTTTCACCAGGGTGTGAGCCCGTTACGCTTGTGCAGCGATGAAGGGCAGAGCTTCAACAGTAACTCCTCTGATGAGACGCGGTTGAAAAATCTTTGAGAAAAGCATATTTTTTCAAAGCATTGATGTAACATTGATTTTCTTCATTCTTCTATTTTTCCTTCTTACTTAGGGTCTGGGAGGATTTAGGGGAGGAAGTGAAACAGAATTGTCCCCAAAATTAATTTCTACCTTGTGCTGTGCTTGGAAGCTCTTTCCTTTGACAAAGACTCAGCTATCTTGGGACAATAAGATGTCCCAAGCCTTCCAGAGATGTGTTGAAACAGTTAAAGGAATCAGCAAAGTCTGGATAAAGCAAATACGTTTTATCCGTGAAAACATTCGAAACTCAAGTTAAACAGTGATGTGTTTGGTTTAAAGAGGAAACGGACAAACCGGTGAAAGCAAACCTCATGCCTGCACAAGGACCAGGACCAGCAGACTCCTGGCCAAGTGGCATCCATTTCTGAAGGGTGGCCAGCGAAGCAATGGAAAGTGCTAGGAATGACAGAGGCAGCCCTTATAAGCAAAGTAATTTTCTGGAGTTAAGACACAGAGGGATCTAATTTTCTTCTAGAAGACTCATTACCATGATTTTGTTACACATTATTTATGGGCTGTTATGATAGTCCTGGCAGGTCATAATTGGCTGAAGCCAGAGAATTAGTCACATTTTTCACATTTGGAAGAATGATCTGTACAGTTGCACTAATGATTTCATTCCCGGAGATGCCACACGCTGGGCAGGGACTGCCTGTCCTGGGGCAGGGCTGGATTAACCCTTTCTGGTTCTGAGCACCGTGCAAAGGAGTTTGATTTTGTTCATGAGATACCAAAATGAACTTTTCTTTACACCAGAGCGGCTGTTTGGCCTGTAAGTGACTTGCTGCTTTCACGATGGTTTCCCCTCTCTTTCTCCTTCCTTGAACTGGCAGTTAATTTTACCTAGCACTATTTTTCTAAGGAGAAAATGCTTTTTTTTTTTTAATTAGCCCATCCATGCAGGGCCATTGCACCCTCCCTATCAGAGCTGGCTGCTGCAGCATTGCAGGCAGGTCCAGCTCTTGCACTGAGGGTTTTTAAGCCCCAGTAAGAGATGAGCAACAGTTTAAACTAAGGAAGGGCCTTACTGGCAACGCCTCTAACGATGTCTTTCTGTGTACATAGCAAAACCCAAACAATTTTTCACAGATGATGAATCAGAAGGGAGCACTATAATTGTTTTATCTGCCTTTTGGGACAGCGCAAGCTGCTAACTCTTGAATTAGAGCCTGGTGAATGTTGCTGTGTCTTCCTGAAAAATGCACAACTTCGATTTGGGGATTTCCAGTGAGCAGGAATCCACTGCACCATTGGCTGACCACTCCCAAGCCCCTTAATTGCCATGGTTGTTAAAGAATGGACATGAATTCTTGAATAAATCGGTACTATGTTGGATTGTAGCATTTGGACCGTGTTGCAGTTTTGCCTAAAGAGAAAAGCATGTGGCCACGGGAGAAAATTATAGACCATGATTCAGAAAACATTGCCTTGGAGTGAAGGATGCCAGGAGAAAGTCAAGGGGTGACTTGATCCAGAAAAAAAAAGTGACTCTTCTAAAAACCTTTCCCAATTTACTGGCATCCTTCTTCGTTTGTAGGTGTCAGGACCAGCACAATATACTGATGTTAACTGGCGTGTGAAATTCAGATTATAGAATGGTTTAGGTTGGAAGGGACCTTGAAGGTCATCGAGTTCCGACCCCCCCCTGCCACAGGTAGATCCAGGAGAACCTCCCACCTGCTTTTTGATATTCCTTGGTCAGGGGTAGCATAAGTTCTCTGCTCAAATCATCACGCTGATGGCAGGACCAACCCATAGAGCCCAAGCTGTATGCTGCTCTGGAGCATTCAAGAGCAAAGCAGCTCGCAGCAGGCTAACACCCCACCACGGGCAATGCGTGCTCCCCATCCCCGGCTCTGGGAGGTGAGGCTCAGCTACAAGCCATGTCCAGATGATTTCTCCAGGAGCGGTGGCCCTCTTGCAGTGCTGTCACCACCTCCTGCGAGCTGCTCCTGCTGCTCTCTGCGATCCGTCCCCTGTCGCACCAGCACGGAAAAGGGTTGGCCAGCACGGAACTGAAGGCAACCTCTTAATCAAACTAAGAGGTGGGAGTTATAGTGTTTGTAAAATACTGTACAAATGGGAGGGTTTGATAGCATTAAATGAAAGATCAGATTCATTAAATTAAGTGGAAAGCAATGTACATGGATAATTTCAAGGGTTGAGGCTGAATACGGTTTTTAAATAGGAAGTGATCAGCCACTACACACAACACAGAGCAGCTCTCAAACATTTTTAATGACAGTATTTGTACACACTTTAGTTTAATTAACACATGGCACAAGAGGGGTTTCGTAACTAGGATATAGTCTCACACCAGTCGGCTCAATTATAAGACATGAAATTTCAAGCATCAATACACCAAGAAGAACGTCACCAGTCCCTGCCCAGTGAGGTCTGGCAATTTGAATTTCCATCACACCTTGTTTCTCTTGGATGCGACAGTAATTCCTTCCCTCCAGATGGAGAAGCCCCCTTAGAAGTGAGTGGATGATCAGCTTCTCATTTGGATTTATTTCTTGTTTTCTGCAATCAAAATTAAGGGGACTGTATATTGTCAGTGCCCAGTGATCCATATTACATTTCTGACAGCTATGTTTATTAGTAAATATGTAGTAATTGCTTCCAGAATTAACTAGAGCTGCTCTCCTGTGTCTGTACGTGTAGGAGAGATTTCCTGCCACGTGTGATCCCTTTGACAGCGCAGCACTCGTTAGACACCGGGGAACTGCTGCAGACGCGGGTGGTTTTACGCCTTTGCAGGTGCGGTGTTGGTCCGGGGCACTAACTTCAGAACAATCGGTTTCTGTGGTGTTAAGAATCCCTGTGAATTCAGCTTGAGAGGGATCTGCAACAATAAGAGGGAAAACACACTTGGCGATACACAAATTAAATAAGTCGAGATTAAAGGAAAGAAACTTGGCCACGGTTTGGATATGACTCGATCCGTAGTGCCCGAAAAGCGCAAAGCATCTGGTGTCAGCACCCACGGTGAGAAAGCAGGCGCCTCGCTCTGCACGTGCCAGCTTCGAAACATAATGTGCTGCTTACCGGAGTTTCTTTGCAGGTCTGGAAGGTGAAATGTTGCAATAGGATGGCGATGGCAACTTTCAGAGTCAGGAGAGCAAACCGCATCCCGATGCAGTTCCTAGGACCAGCCCCGAAGGGCAGGTACGTATACGGGTCGATGGCCTCTTTGTTTTCCTTACTGAACCTGGATAATGACATGGTTGGGGAAAAGAAATGAAGGCAGCGAAAAGCCAAAAAGCTACATATCTGTAATACTTCTCCAGAGATCTCTTGCTGGTGCCCTACAGGTTTGTTTGTTTTTTCACTAGGGTGTCTCAGGGTAGCCCAGCAATCGAGTGATGTGTCAGAGCCCTTGTTCCGGACAGGATTTTGAATTTAATTCTGTCCATCCAGACTAGTACACTTCCTATCTGTTGTATTTAATGAGAGAGAATCCACGAGTCGTCTTTGTTAGGAGCAGCCTATGGCTTCAGCCTTGCTGGGAAATGAGAGGTAGGTACCAATTAGGGAAAAGTTATCCCTTCCTTGAAAACAAAGAGGGAAGGCAACTGTGGAAGCATCAGCTCTGATATATTTTACAGCAAAGCCTGGGTGAAGGAAACGGGTTCAGCAACGAAGGTTATACCGAAGGATGGCTAGCAGTTACCAAAACTCACCAACCACCCACTCTGTCCGCAAGCCTAAAAACTCTGCACAAGATGTTGTGAGGTATCAATGTTATTCTCCCAATAGGATTATGCTGTTTGAAACCCTGCTTTAAGTGCAAAGCTCATTCTCTTCTCAAAATGGCATTCCCACGAGCCCGCAATTTCTCATTGGTATTGTTTGTAAAAAGATAGGAAGAACACCATTAAGAAGCTAATCAGAGATTAATACTTAATTACTACGTGAGGAAAAAGCAGTATGGTATATCTTCCCTTTCATTATGTTTGGGTTTTATACCTTTCTGGTCTGAACTCATCTGGGTTTGGCCAGTACTCAGGGTCACGGTGCAGGGTGTAGGGTGGGATTATGACAACGGTTCCTTTGGGAATGGTGACTCCATTTATTTCTACGTCTTTCTTGCAGGCTCTCTCAATCCGTCCTCCAAGGGGGAAGAGCCGAAGGGTTTCATTCACTGTCATGTCAAGGTATTCCAATTGCATCATCGCCTCGTATGTGAGAGGAGCCTGTAGGACAACAGGAGAAAGGTGACCAGGTATGTTGGCACGAGGATCGGATTCTCCCAAAATGACTGCTGAGACCAGAGCGGCCCCAACCCCTGCTGCCCCAACCGTGTCTCAGGCTCACTGAAGAACAAAATGCAAGGGAGAAATTGTGTAATTGGTTTCATTTTCCATCCCTGAGTGATGGAAATCCACATCCACTTGTGCATGGATGCAGAGTATGGCAAACGGCTCTGTGCAGCGGGGTGGCCTGTGAGGTTTCAGCTGCCAAAAGAAAATTGCTATGGGGTTGAATTGTCTCAGTGTGTGTCTCTTAGAGCTCTTGGAAGATCCCAGGAGGAGGTTGTTTAGGAGCTAAAGATTTCTCATTGTCTTGACTGAACAAGGAGGACAGCAGGGTCGGAGGATCTTCACCATCACGCGGTGTCCCCTTACCTTGTTGGGTAAAACGGTGTCGATTTCCTCCAGCAGTTTTTGCTGCACATCGGGATGCGTGGCCAGTTCATATGCCACGTAAGAGAGCGTGTTGCTGGTGGGTTCATAGCCAGCGAATATAAAGATGAAGGCTTGTGACAGGATCTCTGTGTCGGTCAGGGCTGAGGAGAGAGGATTTGGGGAGATGAGCAAACCGGTGTGGGCTGGTGGTCTCATCAAGGAACAGGCAGCAACGGATGGGGTTGAGGCAGGTTTGTTGCGGTTATTTTCTGATAACACACTTATAGCTACTCTATCTGTCTTGGAAAAGTCATTTGATAGAGGAGGCAGATGATTTCCTGGGTATAAATGACTGACATGGCAGTTCTACTCCCTGGCAAAGCACCTCGGGAATTCCCCTTAGCACCAGTGCTGGCAACAAGGGGCAGAGATTTCTGCCCCGAGCTGGCCAGTGGAGATGGTGGTGACCCATTGAGCCTTTCTCTGGGAAACAGCTCCCCATATTCTCATCGCTCCCACAGCCCCTGTTTCCGTGATGAATATTTGGATGTTGTTACCTTTATAGGAGTTATTGTCTTCTTTGCTTCCATGACTGGTTGAGTTCTGGGATTCGATCATGAGCTGCAGAAAATCTACTCTGCCCTGAGAAGAAAAGCAAGAGAGTTTCTCTGGTGCCAGGGAGGGCTCAGATAAGCAGATTTCATAGCCTAAGCACAATTTTTAAACTGAAAGCGTCCCCCAAATGCACATGACTTCCTTGTTGTAAAACACAACACCTGCATTTTAGTTTGGAAACCTATCTGTCCTTTTCATGAAGGCATTGGGTGGGAGAGCAGTGCCTTGAGTGAACTCCAAGAGGGAGAATTTTTCCAGGAAGCAGCTTCAATTTTTGAAAAGTGAGAGAGGAAGGTGCAACCCTGAAAGGTGATATTGCAGCTCCTGCACTGCTTACTCCGCTTCCTCTTATCCTCTGCCTAATCTTCTTCAGGGAGTCTCTTACTTTGTTGACTTATCACAAGCTCTGCAAACCCAAGCTTAATGCAATTCCACCAAGCCTTCATCTGGATTTAGCTTCCCGTCACAAATGCACAAAGTCCACTTGCTTCTCTGCCAGAACTGGTCAGGTGAGGCTTTTCTGACAGTATTAAAATCAAGCGTTTACACTTAAGTAGATTCAGGGTTTTGTTGGGTTATTGTACTTTGGCTTCACCTTTGATATCATCACCCTAATTATCTTTCACTTAAGTGTATTTTCTGCCACAATTGCTGGCAAATTCACACTCGCTTACCTTGTGAGCCTCTTTTTCACGTTCATGCTTAATTTTGGAGATGGACCTCATGAAGAAATCTACAGCTTCACGGGGGAAGAAGCTTACGTTCATCTTGGCCAAAACAGGAATAAGAAATGGGCATACAACTGAAAAATAAATTGAGAATAAAATCTCACACTGTAAATAAACTCCACCTCGTGTAAGATAACTATGGATGTTACTGAGGAAGTAATGAGTCTACTCAGAAATTATTTCCCCTCTTGATTTCTTTACCTGGGTAAAGCCTGAGCTTTGCCTTTTTTCCTCTTTCTTGAGATAGTTTGTCTTCATGCAACCCTCTCCCAACTTCCCATCAACTGGGCACAACCAAGCTGGATATAATCATTGCTTTAAGAGATGACCAAAGTATTGCCACCTTTTCCTAAGACACTTCTTTCTAAGGACAGGTTACTTCTGTGCATTGTACAACACTACAACAGGAGTGTGGCTCAGAAAAGAAATACTGCAAAGTCTGAATTCTTTTTTTTTCAGGCTGAGCTATTCATTGCTATGCTCACGCAAACATTTTCAAGTCCCCTTCAGAGAATTTCTTGCATTACAGAGACTCAATTTTGAGCCTGCGTAGAGATTCATAAAATCTACAGCACCAGAACCTCCTCTATGCACAGATCACAACTTTACTGATTTTTTTAGCAAGGTATCTGATCTTGATTCAAGGTTGCAAGTGATTTAAGGTCCATCACCATCACCGCTAAGCTACGGCACTGCTAGGAAATTGCATCTAATTACAGTCCCCACTCAGCACTCTCTTCCAGAAAATGCATTTCGGATAGTACCACTCTCCTCGAGCCTCACAGCTGAACTTGCTTTTCAAACCTAGAACGATTTTCTCCCCCACTTATTTGAATATTGGCTGGGGTGTTCATATGTTTCTTGCATTGTGGATGTGCCAAAGTTGGAGGAAGTTTTTACCCATCTCTCTTCCAGAGTTTCAACAACAAGCCAAGAGCCATTAGGACTTCCATCCTAGCTAGTGAAGTTATCTAAGCAATAGTTGATTGGTTAATGTGTAGGATGCACCAGTCTCCGATACTCTTGCCGAAGTCAAACTTCAATAGTACTCTGACACCTGAATGAAGCTTTCAACAAAAAAAAAAAAAATAGTCATTTACATGTCAAGATGAACATTGGGTCAAAAAAGTCAAACTTGACCAGCTTCCGCATCTCTCTAACAAAGGGGTCTTTGGGGTTGTTCATAGAGTCGATGTTCACACCGAATGACGTGCTGGTGACGACGTCCATGCTGTAGCTTCCAAAGATGCTGAGAAAAGACGGAAAAGGTAGTCTGTGGGTAAATACTTGGACCAAGTGAATGCATTTTTTCCTAATGCCTCTGCGACATTCAAATATAAATTCTCATAAGACCTCCTGCCCTGGTTTTGAAAAGGGAATTGGACATATGGTAACTGAAAAGCACTTATAGTGAAAGGGATAGATTTTTAGAGAGCTTTGGTCTCAAGCCTGCATGGGTTTTGAAATTGGACAGCTTTTCTGAGGATTTTAAAACAGCATGTAGCTACATGAGCAGGTTAGTGCAAGGACAGCATGAGGCTCTTGAGCATTTTAGCTCCTTGGGGAGGGCTGGTAACACACCCTGCTTCAAACACACCGTGAAAATGGTCTCGTTCAACCCAGCACAGGTACCTGTAACGGTACAAACTGTCCAGACCCTCTCTCTCCATATGGGGTTTCGGTAGGGGAGAGTTTTGCTGGTGTGTGACTGTTGGTGTGCAGCTGCCCTTTCTGCATCTGTGCTTCGAAATTGGGGGTGAAATACAGAGGTTTTGTTCCAGAGCCCATGTGGAGGGCGCAGATAGGGCGACATACCCAGGGCCACATGGCAGCCTCCCTCCCTGCTCCCTCCAGCAACGGGGGCAAGTGATGGACGAGCATCCCACAGTGCCCTGTGTGGGGCTGGGAGGCCAGCAAACCCAGCGTCCTGTGGTGAAGAAGGTGGTGCTCAGAGATCCCGAGTATATGCAGGGAAAACTGGGGTTTTCCTAGTGGATTTGGGGTTATCTTGGATGTGTGGATTCACAAAGCTGTGCTGGAGCTTCCCCCCCCCCCCCCAAATTCCCTTTAGAAGGCTTCTCTGCGGGTCTCTGCCTCTAGGAAGTTTCACTGACATCCCAGCTTAAATTTTCCTTTTCAAATTTCCAGCCAGGCTTTCAGCTAACCCTGTTCCTCATTTCCGAGGTCTGCTTTACCCAGCGAGCGATCCGTTTTGCGAGTAACGAATGAACCGCAGCACTCGCTAACAAGGTTTGCTGCTTATCCTGCTGCTCCTAGCAGATACTTACTCCTTTACAGCTATAGCGTTGTCCTGTTCCATTTTTTTCTGAACATTTTTCACCAAAACTTCCCCATAGTGCTTTATTATAGGGAACATCTGTAACACAAACCAGAGATGGTCACTGAAGTATGGTACATTTTACTCCTTTCAGGCAGGCTTATGAAGACTACAGGGAGTTTCATGAATATTTACAAATAAGATCTTTCTGCTAAGTTTTTATTTTAATCCTTTTTCATTTTAAATTAGGCATAAATTAAACAGGCCAGCGTAGTTGCCAGGCCCTGACTAAAGAAATCGGACCCCTGTGACAACCTCAGCCTGGAATCTACTGACTTTCTGATTTAGTTTGTTACCCGCTCCTCTGTGTTTTACCTCCTTTAGTTTCCCACTGGTGAAGGTTGGAGAGAGCACGGTACGGATCCTTTTCCACTGTTCGTCTTCAGCTAATGAGACAGCATTTTTCAGCACCCCTGCTAGATCAAAACGCTGGAGGGGGGAAAAGGCAAGGTGTTAACCCCAGGAAAACAGCGGTTTCCTTGCAAGGGTGGGAATGCAGCACGCAAGCCCCTGCCCGGGCTATTTCAGAGGCGTTACTACTGGCAGCGAGCCTTACAAACAGCCTCTCTCAAGGCGCACATACATAAATAATCCCCTTTCCTGCAGTAAACCAGCTGTGAGATGCCATTTCCATTCCCAGAACAAGTAACCCAACAAGCCCAACACCCGTACGCATGTGTGTGTGTCCCCACCTGACCGTGCCGCCCAGCGCCTGCATCCCAGCTGGTGGCACAAGTGGTACCTGGACCCTTACAGGTTCCTGTATGCTCACGTAGACTCAAATTCATCCCTATATATATATATAGGTGTGAGAGCAGAATTTCTCTGGTGTGCAGGCAAACAGCTTCCTCTGCCAGCCTGGGTATGCGCTCCCCAGGCTGTAAGGCAGAGGAACAGTGACATACAGTGGCCATTTACAGTAATCCCTGTCGCGGCCCTATGGGAAACCCTGCTACATGCTTGTCTCCTCCTGTACTTTGTTTTTTGGAGTCTGTGGTACATGACAATGCTTCTGTTCTTACCCTCCGGTTGGTAAAGGTGGAGTAACACTCTTTAACCAGCACAGTTTTAATGATCTGGGGGTCCATGACAGCGACCACAGGTTGTCTGCCATCATAAATCCTGGTGGGGGGAGAAGAGGAGACAGATGAACAACCCCAGACAGTGGAAGTGCAAGGCTTGGCTGATGCCCATGAAACAAAATGTGTTAAACAAATGCTCCTCCATCACCAGCCTTGCTGTTCTGCAGATGCCTCAGTACAGAAATGTAGAAATTAGAGATGTAAAAGGACTCCCAGGCCTTCTCCCATCTGGTCTTGTAAATGATAAAGGGGGCTAAACACCTTCCAGATTCACTGGGAAATGAGCAGGACTCAGTCCCTCCAAGGACCAGGTATTAAATGAAGCAAGCGTCTCCACTTTCTCCCCTGATTCTCTGTGTTTTTCCAGGCACTTAAACACATTACGGTATTAGAAGGAAACTTGTTTGACCCCTTTCAGGCTGTTGAATTGGGTGCCTGGAGACTTGGGCTGACAGCACTGAAATATCCTTGGAGATGAAACTCAAACCTTGTTTTTGTCTTTTTAATCTGCCAGTTCTGAATGCTTTCCTGGAACAGATGTAGATTAAGCAGCTTTATGCACTTTCCTCATTTGTGTAAAGATGTCTTTTCTAGAGTCCATTTTTTTAAGTTTCTATAGGGATCAATGGGTGCCTTACAGAGGATATGCAAGTTTGTAGACCGAGTTATAACAGCAGTGATAAAAGCCACAGGAGATGTCCAGAGCAGAGCAACAATAGCTGCCCCGGCCCCCACGGCAGCAGGTAAGGATCAGCAGCATGAGGAAGTCGGCAGACTTTGAATCTGCTGTTGCCCTCAGTATTGGGAACTCACATTCCTCTGCTGTCAGTAAACCAGAGGAACTTGACCTCCTGGTTCCAGATTCTCCCTTAAGTAAATAGTAGTTTTGCTGCTGGTTTTGTTAGGAGCAGGTGAGGGCCTTTTGTTATCAGCTTTAAAACAGCTTTCATAGTTTAGGTCAAAGCAATTTCCATATAGCGTGACAGCGGCACAGCCCTGCAATCACCAGGCTTTAATGTAAGCCACCACAAGTACCCTATATTTGCTGTACTTGTCATGCTGGGACTGTCAGGGATGGAGATAGAGAAAACAGAGCTTTCCTAACAATTTTTTTCTCCCTTTTATATGGATTCTAATTTTATCTTAAGAAGAGATCAGTGGTTCATACTCACCCCCAGACTTTCCCATATTTCTGGAAACACTCATTGTCAAATTCCAAGAAACCCTGTGGAAAGCAATTTAAAAATTATCTTGGAGAGGATGCAGCGGAGGGGTTGATGTTGGAGATGGTGGGTTGGGAGGAGGATCTTTAAAATGAAGTTGAGAGCTGCCTTCTGAGTTCTCCTCCTCTCCAAAAACATCAGGAATGACCGCATAAATGTACGTCGTGCTCGTGAATGAGCTGTTTGCCAGGACGCTGGCAAAGGGCAGCCGTAGATGAGCCACCCACCAGTGCTTATTTGGAGATGCTGTGGTCTGTCACCGAGCTCATATCCCGCACCGGCCTTTGCACAATCTGTGCGTTGGAGCAGAGCTTGGCATTTGGAGATAACTTATCATCGCCCTGTATCTGTTTAGCTACAGCTGTATGAGCAAAGGCGGCTATTTCTGGAGCCAGGAAGGCTTCAATCACTTACTTTGCGATATTCCAGGCACGTCCCAAAGAAAGGCAGAGGTCTTGGGCCGGGAATACCCAACTTCTTGAACAAGCCAAACGGCCAGGTTCCATATCTGTGGGGCAGAAAGGACAAGTGCTCTGTCACCGTGGCATTGGGGCTGCAAGCTCTCCTGAACCCAGAGACTGCAGCAGCATCCCTTTGGCTGTAAGGAGTAGAGGAGGTTGGTCCAGGAGCTGGAAAAAAGTGGCCCCAAACAAAATTGCCCTGTAAAAAATACTTAATAAACATGGCAAGGCTCAGTGCTGCCACACAGAGCTTCAAAGGGCTTTTGATGTCAAAGCAGCTGTCTCCTAAAGGCATAGGTGCTCCGGTGGATACAGGACCTTAAAGCCTTTAGCAAAAGTCAAAAGAGGAGCTCATTGCCAACCAAAGGAGAGGCAGAAAGGGGAGCTGGAAGAAGGAACACCAAGTTTACGTGTTTTTATTGAAGAGAAATCAAAGCATTGCCAGCAGTGATGTCCCAAACAGCGCTTTTGTCAAGCTGTACTTTAATTTCATTTATTGTTCTCCCTCCCCTTAGCCTGGCATTAGCTCAGTGGTGCGTCAGGAAGTCTTGTCTTGATGGTTTTCTCTTTAGATTTTATTGACAGCTTTGCAGATTTCTTTCCTCTGAAGCACCCTTTTTGGCAGCTGTAAAGTTATTACTTCTACCTCGGGGCCTTCTCTTTCTCAACAAGGGCCTGGGCTGCAGCCCTTTGAAGCTTGTCTTTGGCTATGTTGAAAGAGCTCCTCAAAATATTTGGTTTTAGTTAGTAGCTGCAGCTTCCCAAGTGAGCAGTTCGCTGCAGAAGGTATGTAAAACTGCAAAGGTTTGGCAGAGGGATGTTATCAGAGATCCTCTTTGGGCCACGTGGCAGCAGCGGCTCAACCAGCATCTTGGGGATGCTGTCCTGAAAAGCCAGAGCCTAGCCTGAGACTTAGGGGGGTTTCCCTTGCAATCAATAATACTTCTCTAAAGTAATACATTTCTAAATCTGGGGGACCCAGAATGAGATCGGTCCCCCCAGCACATGTTCCACCAGAGCACAAAAGCGGACCACATCTTATGGTCCAGAGCAGGGAAAAAACAGGGACTGGGGTGTTTGCAGGCGCAGAAAGGTTTCACAGAGTTCAGTTTGTCTAAGAAAAGGTTAATTCAGTACTCGGTATGAAATGTTTGTGGATTCTCAATTGTAATGTTTATGGACCGCCGGGGCTGCGGGAGGACCAGGAAACCCTGAGCGGGTTACAAAGTCCAGAAACACTATAGGAATGTAGGCTTGGCTTAATCCATTTGAAACACGGCCAAGAAAATGCAGTCTAATGCTCTTACGACTAAAACGTGACATGGTTTTCTGCAGGCAGAGAAGGACCATTCAGTGTAAAGCCAGAGAATAATCATTACCTCTTACCATGGATGCGAACCAGAAATGCCTGATACTCCTTCATGTGTGAACTGGAACAGCGTTGCCCCAGATGGACAAGAAGCATCTGACCAACCTCCCTGCACTAACGGGCAGGGAAATTCCTATTTTAGCTCAGATATTGGAGCACAAAGATCCTGGGCTTCAGCCCTTCTGCTACAACAAAATTGCAAGTGGCTGCAGAAGGTGGGAGTCTGGTAACCAGCAATATTTGGTGGCCACAGAGTTAATGAAATACGATGGTTTGGGTCAATAATGAGGGGGGGGGGGTTTTGTTTCCTCTTTTTTTTTTTTTTTTGCCCCAAACAGGCTTTTGAGTGATCCAAATCACAGGAAAGGGTCTGAAAAACAGGGCTAAAAGTTTCAGAGCTTACTGAACCGCCACGGCTGGAGCATTGCCAGGGCAGACAAATGGATTGTGCTCGTGTGCACCGCATTAATCATTAAGGTTTATGGCTAGCAACATGCTGTCTCTGCCTAAGGGCTTGTCAACACTACAAAGTTTGTCAGTCCAGCCTTGTTGGCAGGGGCTGCCAGCAGAGACGCTGTCTGTCCCAGCAGAAGGGGGGTTTAAGCCAGCCCTGCCACGCTGCAGCGCCCGCCGGCCTCAGCGCAGTGGACAGAAGCATTTTCTCACCAGCGCGGCTCCTCTGAAGCAGCGGGGTACACTTCTGCCTGATGGAGCCTGTCTGAAAAGGCAGGAGCGGAGAGCTGCCCCGGCTCCGGCCTTCGTCTCGTCCCCCAGCAAGGGTGGGCTGTGGGGACGGGCACGGGATGCTGTCCCCGCAGGCGTGTGGCAAATCTGACTTCTGCAAAGTGTCGCACTTGGTCCAGGTGCCCGTGTCTGGAGCATCTTACCTGGGCCTTATGGAAGGAGTCGGGAAGAGTGAAACTGAGTCTATGAATGCTCTTTTTCTGGTGTCTTTCTGCTGCTCTGCACCTTTGCGGGTCATACAGTAACATCAGCTACTGCCTGCTCCCCTCCCCAGGGCAGCCTCAGCCAGGGGGGCACAGCCTTCCTGAGACTTCATTTCTGCGAAAAATAACCTAAGGGATCGCGCCCCTCGCTGAAACCAGCACCCCGCTGGTAACGAATGCCTGGCACCATTATCATTCGATGATTGCTCTGAAGCTTAGCAGTAAGATGGTAACAGTGCGCGGGAATACTCCAAACCTCAGAGCAAGATCCCGCGTCTGTACCGTCTTTGCTACTTCCCAGAGCCTCGTTAGAGGCTGGAAACCTGGGAATCACACCTACCTGTTTGCTCTTCGGCAGACTAGTTGCATGTAAAATCAACAATGGCAAGAAGAGGAAAATGGCATGAGCGAAGAACCAGTAAAGAATATTTTACTCACGCTGCCAGGAGGGCTACGAAAACAAGCAAAAGGACCCATGTCTCCACAGAGAAGGAGGGAAGAAGGTTCATTTGGTCCTCCTCTGGTTGGCTTTGAGTACTGTCTTGATGTGTTTGCCCCAGGTCTGTGGGAAATAGGAAGGTCTTGCAGTGTGCAATCTTTTGTGTCCAATCACATGATTTAGGGGCTGTCCTTCTGTCATGAAGGAGGAGGAGCGGAAGGCAAAGGTAGCAAAGTGTGCTAAACTGAAAAACACTATTCACGGGATAGATAAACGCCTGGCTGAACTGTCTAAGGTTCAAATTATTTAATACATATGTTGCCAGGCATTTCAGCTAGTGTCTCTCTTGTAATAGTAAGTAATAACCGACTTCTTATTGAGTAATGCTCCTGGGCTTCTGCACCAAAATAAATAAAAGCAAGTTACAATGAAAAGGTAAATCCCAAAGCAGGTGTCAGAGTTGGTTTACAAAAGGGAAAGAAAGGAAAGAGAAGTGAAAAGGTTATTCATATAATGTATGACAAGATCTTTTCTGGCAGCTGAATTAACTTTGACAGAATTTAAGGTTTTGTTTAAAATATCTTTCTTTTGTGTCGGGAAGGGCAAGCGCTGCCCGCTTCTGCCTGTGGTGGGTCAGAAGCAGCTTTGAACAAAAGCAGGAGTTTGCCCCTGCTAAAGGCTTTAGAAGCCCACCTTGTTTGCTGGCGTGTAGCCAGGCATTTTGTAAGAGAAATGCTGTCGTTCCACAACTATAAGCAGCCAAAGTACCATCCTTTCCAAAACACCAGCTCATGGCTCATGAATAAAAACAGCATCCATCCTTCCGCAGCGGTTGGCAAAAAGACACAAGCAAAGGGAAAACACAAATTTTGTAATGGTTCTCCTGTAAGGATGGGGCAGAAAAGGAATAGCACCCCAGAGCTATGGATGTGCCAAGAGACGATTCTGATGGTGGAGGAAGCTGGACTGTTCAGAGGTGTTTGTTAGTGGCCATAATGTCGGGGCAGGAGGCTATATGGTTTGCACAGATGGGTACTGCAGCATCTTTAGGGCTTCATTCACAATCTAAAACGAGCAACACCCTATGGGCAGAGCTGAAGTCCTCAAAAGGGAGTTTAGTGAGTGCACTGAGTACAAATAACTGCGTGCTATAAATAGCATATCAAACGCCTTGTGTCTCCAAGGATGTTGCCATGATTGATGCTGGGTTGACTGATAAGTGGACACAGTCCACATGGCAATACGAGACACGTTCTGAGAGTCATCATCTGACTTATCTCAGCAGCGTTTGCATCTCATTTCACCTTTGCCTGGCCTTTGCTCTGACCTCAGAGACAACTCAGTTGCAGATTATTTTGTAATAAACAGTGTCTACTTTACTTTGACATGAACAGGCAAGTTCACGACATACTTATACAAGCCCATGTCGGGTCCTACCTTGCTTGATTCAGAGCTGTTGAAAAAGCATGTGATTAAATAGGTGCTTTCCCATTCAGGAGCTTGTCACAGCAGTGATTGTTTTTCCAGGGTTCCCCTTTGCACATTTTGACATAGCCTTGAAATATGAATTTACTGGACACCAAATGTTCCTGACTCACCATGTTGGGAAACAGGTTCATACAGTTTATTCATGAAATGGGATTGCTGTAGGGCTCTCCCTCCTCAGTAAAAATAAGCTTCAATCCTTGTCGGGTCATTTTTAAGGGTAAGAATAGACTCTTGAAAAACTTGTAAAAAAAACAGATAGGTGCAAAGTCTTGCTGCTGGTTTTGCATTGGGGTCTTATGATACCTGGTAAACGGAGTGTGCCTATGGATTTCAAACAAACAAACAGAAACCCACCATCCCACTGAGAAAGCGGATAGATAAACAAAAAAAAAACCAAAAAAACAAACCCAAACCTCATGTGATTAATCCATGCCAGAGGAAAGTCAATGACCCAGGAAAGAATGATCGATTTTCACCTCACATGTAAGTCCAGCTCAGAGCTGGGTTTATGCTCTAACTTGCCCTACGTTAAAGCTGTAAACCTCCAATTTTAGGCTGTGGTGCCCCCTAAACTGCTAGCTGGGAGGTCATGTTTGAGAGGTGGCTTGGGCACCTTCAGAGGGGAACCTGGGGAAGGCTTCTCTTCCTGCCCTCCGTCTCTGGAAGGGAGGAGAAACACCAACTCTTTTACATTCTCTTCAGCCAAGGCTGAACCGCACCTCCAGAAATGGTGGGAATGAGGAAAAACACATGTCCAAGGCCCAGTCTACCTTCACCCTTCCCAGCTGAGGTCTCTGCCTGTCTGGTGGCAGCTTCACTGAGCCATCTTGATTGTCCCTTCACCCTATCCAAGTCCAAGACCACCAGGGGCTTTTAGGCCCATCCTCTGCTTCTCCTGGAGACACTTTGAAGTGCACTGCATCCCATCGTGTTTTTTGGTGAGCGCACCACCCCAGGCATCTGCTCAGGGGCGTGAGAAGGTGCAAGCCCAGATGGAGGTGCAATTAGACCTGTGGGAACACCCTGCTGGTGACACAGCTAGTCCCATTCATGGGTGATGGTGTCACACACGACCTGCGGTGCACGGTGGGTACACAATGCTCACCCTTGTCATTTTGGCTGCTGCACTGTATGGTAACTCCTATGTTGCCACCGTGCTTCCAGGACAGCCACAGGCTGAGGGTGAGAGGTTTAAAAAGCCAAAGTCTGCAGCAAATTCAGAAGAGAACTGAGCTGCTTTTCCATTCCTAATGCCCCTAAGTAGCTCAGATTAATGGATTAATGGCTTTCAGGAAAGCAAAATAACACCACGTTGATATTTGCAGTGTAATGAAAGGAGCGCTCCTAATCCAGGTTGTGAACAAGGTGTGATGGAAGGAGGGATTTCTTCTATAATAATGATGGGGGCCTGGGCAGGAAAATGGAAGAACATGTATTTCTTCCACAAGCTGTGAAACCAAATGATGTAGGGTAAGAAAAACACTGTGGAACAGCAATTATGACCGGGGCACAGGTGTGGAGAAGAAAGAGCAGATCAGAAGAGAAAGAGCTATTGGGGGAGGAGGGGGGGAAGCCAGAGTGGGTAACATTTTGTATTCATGATGAAAAGGACCGCACGGGCATAAGGAGGGCCAGGCTGGGTAAGCCTGAATCTGTATGTCTAACTCACTTTGAGTACAATCATGAAAGAGGTTCTCCTGAGATACTTTGGGGAATTTGTTTTAGATTCCCAGGGCTGGACCGGTTGCAGTAGAGACTCTGCAGCGCTACTTGGGATATAATTATTGCTGGGGAGTTGTATCATTACGGAGTACTTTAAACTCTCTAGATACAGATTGTGAAAAACACTGCTAATCATGCAGAGCTCAGATAATCTCTGTATGGGAGACGGCAGATTTCTGCACTGGAGAAACACCAGACTGGCAAGCAGTGGAACTGGTTTAACTTCAGTGTTGATAGGTAATTTAAGATATTCTGGAAGAACAGTTAAGAGTAAAATTACCTTGGGCTGAGCAAGACACATTGATTTAGTTTTACGTTAAGTGGAAGGATAAACAAAAATAAGCTTATAACTAAGGCTCTCTTTTTCAAAAGGACAAATTAATGAAACACAGGAGTGGAAGATCTCAGGGCCTTCCATGTAGATTGTGTCTAACCTCCTTTTTAAGGCAACGGTGCCAATATTATCAGCCAGTTGTATGCCGAGAGACTTGCAGGAACAGACTTTACACCCAACTGGCTGAACAGCTGCATTAAAAAAGATGCTCAGAATAAACCAACCAAGTAGGAGGTGAAGGAAAAAAAACAAACCAGTGATTTTGTAGTTCAAGGTATACTATTATATGGTGTGGCCTTAAGATCTTCTGGGATGGGAGGATGTTTCTGTGCCCAATTCGGAGCAGCCCAGTGCTTGAATGGACCGGCTCACTGGGGTCCAATTAGCGGGGTCCAGCACATCAGTGGCATTTCTCGCCCCCTTGGAGACATGCCCCAAAAAACCTTTGTTTGTTTAGTCTAGCTAAATGATAGCTGGGCTGGAGTGGTGGTTGCTATGAGATAAATGCCAGGTAGAAGAGCTATTTAATCAAATTATGATGTTGGCACAGAGACAAATGGGTATAGCCCAGCCATGAATAAATGCTAGGCTGGAAATGAGCACAGTCCTGGCCTGGAAAGCTCAAGAGTCTTCCCATCATGGGGTTAAAAGAAAGAAAAAAAGCTCAGATAATGTAAAATGGGGCTAGATAAGACAGCTGCTGGTGGGAGGAGGGAGCAATACGTTAAATTTACCAACGCTTTTCTGCCAGAGCACTGCGAGGAGTTCGCTTTCTGCATAGGCAGAAGATGCGGGGAGGCAACTCTGTATTTTCCCTGATACACAGTGGTTTAGTTACCCACAGGAAAATACTTCATAATGAAGGCTACATTTTGTTGTCAGTGGTTAAAATATTGATATACTTCTGCTGATAAAAAAATCAATGTATTTGGAGGGGTCTCTAATGATACTTTATGTAGTTCTGTGTATAGATGACTGATACCCTCCTGCACATAGATTTCCCTGGGATTTCAAAAGCACACAAAAAGCCTCAACAAAAAAGTAATTAATTCCCCTGGATGTTTTGTTCCATATACTGAGCTTTGGAACTACACAGAAACTAGGACATTTTTCTGATGTTTTTTCAGTTAAAGTAATATCCCTGATACATACCAATCTTCCTTCATAATCTTTACAATATATCATTATATTCCTTTTCATTCTAAGAAATGACAGCTACAAAAGCTATACGCTATCTGGATAGCTAATTAACTCTGAGTACAGCATTCTTTTGCGCAATCCAATACAAATGTCTGTTTGAGGTTCTCTCACTTTAACCTTATAAAATGAGTCAGAAAAAATAAAGTACCCTGCTAGCTCTGCTCATGACTTCTTACCTGCGATGCAACGACAGACAGGGTTGCGTCTCACAGGGGAGCAGCAACACAAGCCTGGACAAATACAAACTAGAAGAGACGTATTTCCAGTACAAGGTGTAAGATCATGTTCTTTCCTGGATATTTTTAGGGAAAACACCTTGATGGGGA